AATCAAGTCCATTAGACCATTAAATTATTTTCCTACCTGTGCACCTACATGTATTTCTGTTCAAAATACAAAATAACCACAACATAATATAATAAAGCACCATCTTCATTTAGATAACCACAGCATAATAGAATAGAGCATGATCTTTATTAAAAAATTACGACAGCATAATATAATAGAGCATCATCTTCATCTAAATCAAGAGGTACTGTGAGCAATGAGCTCAATAAATGATACCATCCGCCTCCCATTTGGTTATAATGGCAAAGTCCATGTTTTGCTCTTGCCGGGAAACACAAAATTTATGTCGGATCAAAAAGTAAAATAGGAGGTGAACAATGGCAATATGTTATAAAGATTCAGTGAAAGTTTCATTAAATTTCACTCAGTGGTTGCGGATAAGAGGTGGGTATTTCAAAGCGTAAAAGACATACGGACGTACAGCTAGACGGACGGACATACCAATTATTATATACCCTTCCACTTTTCAAGCGGGGGGTATAATTACCACAGCATAATATAATAAAACACCTTCTTTTCATGAAATAACGATATAAGGCAGCTATGGCATTCTATAAATCAAGCACCACCATTGGCACAGGTAATGGGGACACAAATCAGTTACATTAACTAGAGAATGCAGAAACTAAATCAATTATCGATCTCGCAGTATTTGATACACGAAATGCTCTAATCTGTAATCGGTATGTCTGTCCGTCCGCCCGTGTGTCTGTTACGCTTTGGGGTACCCATCTCTTATCCGCAACTCCTCTTATACCACTGAGTGAAATGTAATAAAACTTTCACCGAATATTAACTACATATTGCCATTGTGCATCTCTTATTTTACCTTTTGACCCGACACATATTTTGGGTTTCCGGGTCACAGCAAAACATGACCTTTGTCATTATAACCATACGGGAGACGGCGGTATCATTTAGTGAGCTCATTGCTCACAGTATCTCTAGTTCTTCTAAAAAAATCACTAGAGAAAAATAATGCAACAAACCAAACAGAGAGAATTACAAATCTACAAAATTAATTTGAGAAATTAAAGACCAAGAAGTATTAACTAGCATGCGACAATGAAAATTGCAAGATGAAGAACTTTTGAATATTAAAAGCTATGCAATGAAGGATAATCTTTTTTTCTTTGACATCGAGGAAACTGAATTCGAAAACATTCGATTACTCATCCAAATATTTTGTAAAAACAATTTGGGCGTTGGAGGGGATGGAAATAATAGCTTGAAAGCGTTCACCGAGTTTGGAAACCCAGTGAAGCAAGACCCCTCGTCCAAGTCTTGTTAAATTCAAGATCTTCCATGATAAAACATCGTTCGTATACTCAGCTACTAGTTATAGGATATAGGTTACTGGATAAGGAAGCAGGCACGTAGCATCGGTTTTGAAAGTGAGGGGCCAACCATAAATTTTTTTTTACTTACCTGAAAAAGTAGACAAGCAAAAAAAAAAAAAGAAAAAGGAAAGGAAATAGCCCCAAGCTCAAAAATCCTAGAAGTGAGTGGGGGGGGGGCAACCAACCTTTCAATAGACATTTTCAATAGTAAAGGTAATGTTGGGAAAAAGTGGGGGGGGGGCTGGCCCCTCTGTTGCTACGTCCCTGGGAAGTGACTACCATATGGGAGTATCGCGATCAAAGTAAACTTTCTCCACAGTAAAAACAGGCCAAAGAAAATAATCAGAGAACATTTTTGTAAGAGACAAATTAAATGAAATAGCACCTTGTGACACCAGCGTTGATGACTGCGAGTATGGTTAATTATGGGAAGGGGGGTTTGATATAAAATGCCGAATATTGCATGTAAAAAGCGAACTGGGAAAGAAACTAAGTGACAAGAATTTCCAATATGATAACGATATATTTGCATTCTTCTTGAATACTGAATATAAGGACACTCCAATTTATCCCTCAGTGTTTATTGTGTTCATTCACATTGCAGAAAAAGAAAACGTGTCAGAAATCGTACACCGTGTAAAGGAATTAGTTAAGGACTCACTTGATTAATTTGTTAAAATAGATGAAATATTGCATGACAACATTGTTAGGATAAAAAAGGATAAAGTCATTTCTGGTAAAAGATTTGTACATTGGGACACTTTTGGAATTGTGCTAATGATTCAGCAACTACTTATATTTCGATTACAAATTTTATTAATATTGATAGCCCTGTATTTGAGTTCTTTGACACTGAAATTACTTCAAAAGAGGCTGAAACCTGCATATGCAGACTGAAAACGAATAAAAACACAAGAATAATTTATTCAATGAATATTTTTCCAAGTTTAGTGACATAACTCTTCCTATTTCAGGGACCCTTTTCATCAAAATTTGTAATTCCGGAATATTTCCTACTTCGAATTCGAAAGCAATTATTATTGCAAATTATAGAAAAGGAAAAAAATGACGATCCCAGAAATTACAGAGATATCAGCATTGCCGATGTACAGTTTGGATTTTACGCTGGACGATCAAGTACTTACGCTATATTTAGGCTTCGAATTTTGATATCACAAATGCTGAATAAAAAACAACGTTTACATTGCTGTTGACTATAATTTATGATATAAATTGATTAACATGGGAATCACCGGAAAATTCTTTCGAATTATCTGATCGCTTTATGTCAAGGAACACGCCTGTGTCAAGAAGGCAGAAAAGATATGCGACTTCTACTTAAGAATTCCCAGTAAATTCCCCGCCCTACCCCGGGGGTCATGATTTGAACAAATTTGAATCTACACTACCTGAGGATGCTTCCATATAAATGTAATCAGTTATGGCTTTGCTATTCTTGAGAAGATTTTTTAAAGAATTTTCTTATATATTTCTATGTAAATCTTGGATTCCCTATTGTGTCCCCGCCCTACTCCCGGAGGTCATAAATTGAACACACATGAATCTACACAACCTGAGGATGCTTCCATATGTTCAATTATGTCTATGCTATTCTTGAGAAGATTTTGTAAAAGGAATTTTCCAATATATTTCTATCAAAAACTTTGGTCGGCCATTGTGGCCCCGCCCTACCCCGGGGGTCATGATTTGAACAAACTTTAATCTACACTACCTGAGGATGATTCACCATAAGTTTCATCTTTCCAGGCACAGTGGTTCTTGAGCAGATTTTTAACCAAATTTTCTTTAATTCCCAATTATCTCCCCTTGAATGGGACGTGGCCCTTCATTTGAACAAACTTTAATCTCCCTTTACCCAAGGATGCTTTAATTTTGTGGCAAGTTTGGTTGAAATTGGCCAACAGGTTCTTGAGAAGAAGTCGAAAATGTGAAAAGTTTACAACAACGACGACGACAGACAACGGACTTCGCCTCAGGTGAGCTAAAAACCAAAATTTTAGTATGCAGGAAAAGGGGTGCGTTAATTTTTTTATGAACTTATAAGAATCACGGCCAGGAAAACGTTAATTTCCTAGACAACCGTTTGCAAAAACTTTTAAAGATAAGCACTGAAAATAGTTTTTTGTCATGAACTTACAGGTGAAGATTTTCAAATGCACAAAACGAAAACAACGCCATATTTCAATATAGGTGTTGCAAGATTTTCAAATACACAAAACGAAAACAAAGTCCGACGTTCTCATGAAATGTTTCACTGAAATGTACATTTCATAAACAGACCATAACAATGAGTTTAGTGAGTACTAAAATGCATTATGGCATTTTACTGTTGACAACTTGTGAATTCAGCATTCAAATTTGTTGGCAAGTATCGAAAATCAACTCCAGGTGGAGGTGGCTAAATTCTGATATTTTCCTGGAAGGTACATGTAAAGTATCACTATCCTGAAGACATGAGATTGATTGATTGTATATTGTTTAACGTCCCTCTCGAGAATTTTTCACTCATATTGAGACGCCACCACTTGCCGATGGAGGGCTACAAATTTTGTCCTATGCTCGGCACTCAGGGCCTTTAAGCAGTGAGGGATATTTTTCGTGACAGCACCTACTGCGACACGGGGCCTCGGTTTATACGGTCTCATCCGAAGGAACGGTCTCCACATCCCACAGTGGGATTCGAACCCGCGACGTAAGGATTGACTCCTTACTTCGCGACTCTAGAGCAGACACTATAACCACTGCGCCACGCGGGCGACTGAAGACATGAGAAAGGCCTACTAATTCAATTTTTTTTCTCTATATGTTACAGAAAAGTTTGACATAGAGTACTCTTTTATTTTCCATAATAATAAAACGTTTAGATGATACATGTACAGTTAAAATCCTGCATAGTGATATATCGAATACCATGGATATGTCGAAGTCACATGGTAATCCCAATTCCTCATGTTCTTTGTTGGTATTTTAGGCTTTAAACTTCTCGGTCAAATATATAATAATATCAAGGTTATACTGTATAATTACATAAAATGTATTGTGAAATATTATGGAGATAACAGACAAAGTCCAGCGTCATCAAACACTACAAAAAGTGAGCAGAGCAAACACGGACCTCCAAAACATCAGAGCAGAGATCAGGTGCCATGGAGGAGTGAACATCCCCTGCCGAACGGTCACACCCGTCGTGTGCTCCTTGTCATGGTCAAGAAGTAACAGGAAAAATAAGGTAATTCAGCATGTATATAATGGCCTTACAATTAAAATGAAAAACGTTGGTCAGCATCTGACTTAACGATAAATTGTGCTAATAAACAAAGTCATTGTGTCTACTGCAAAATTTACTAAATGATGATTTTAAACGAGACGGCTGGTATTCTTGTTTCATCAGCTTGCTTGTCAATAAATTACAAGAGCATGTTGTTGCGAATGAAATCAACTGAGAAATATAAACCTCGTATGTAGGTGATGAAGGAATGTTGCTGCATGTTGAAATGAAGGAAATTCGACGATTAAAAATTTAAAGTCATCTTGTTTATCAACGAACATTTAAAATATTCATTTATATAAAAAGGTTATAATGATAACTTCTTCATATCCCATTTATTTCACATTTAATTTCATTGTTACCGTTGTTGGAAAATAGTTCATTGAAAATCAAATAACAAAAATTGACATCATTTCCTTTGAAATCAACAACTCCATGTACTTCCCTCTTCAGGCCCGTCTTGGAATGCAGTATCTTAATGCACAACTTTTCTAACCATAAGTCGAATTGTCTTCAGAGAATAGTTATGCGTTAACCACGGATAATACGTTATCCCTTTACCGAACACCGTGGTGTTTCCCGCCAGATAGAGACCGTTGGGGTTAGCGCAGTGGCATGCATTGTGCCACCACCCAGAGTTATACATGACGGCACAGTTATTGTTTCTCTCAACGTCGTTGTCTCTGTCCTTCGTCGTGAACTTCATGTTTTGTATTGGTTGGCTATAGGTTGTTGAAGTGAAACAATCGCCTTTTAAAAAAGCATTAAAAATGGGAAGAATAAATGAATGGAACAATGAATGAATTAATTTAGTTAATGCAAAATATCAGTATCCATTATTTAAATAATTTAGTGGAAAAGGTATTTGAAAAAATTAAATGAAGGCAACAATATCTATGAACATTATACATGTAATTATAAGCTAATAATTTAATTTTAGTTGTAACACTTATTTGATTGAATGAAAGATTTAATCTATATCGTATAACATAAGTTGCCTACGTCACAGTGGGTTACATTAGAAAAACTTAATACTCCGCTTGACGTTACTTTAAAAATACGCTAAATTTGAAGCCATTTTAGAGATTTATAAAGCGTACACTACCTCAAGTTATGTTATATCGTATAACGTAGGTTCAAATAAGCTTCATTCCTTAAATGTATTGTAACATTTTTAGCTCACCTGAGCAGAAGGCTCAAGTGAGCTTTTCTGATCAAAATATGTCCGTTGTTTGTCGTTGTCGTCGTCGTTAACTTTTCACATTTTCGACTTCTTCTTAAGAACCACTGGGCCAATTTCAACCTGGCACAAAGTATCCTTGGGTATAGGGGATTCAAGTTTGTTCAAATGAAGGGCCACGCCCTATTTAAGGGGAGATAATTGAGAAATAGTGAAAATTTGATGGTATGTTTTAATAAAAATCTTCTTCTCAAGAACCACTGTGCCAGGAAAGATGAAACTTAAAGGAAAGCATCCTCAGGTAATGTAGATTCAAGTCTGAACAAATCATGACTCCCAGGGTAGGGCGGGGTCACAAAGGCCGATCAAAGTTTAACATAGAAATTTATAGGAAAATTATTTAAAAATCTTCTTCTCAAGAACCACTGTGCCATGAACTATGAAACTTATAGGGAAACATCCTCAGGTAGTCTAGATTCAGATTTCAGATTTCTTCAAATCATGACCCCAGGGGTAGGGCGGGTCCACAATGGCCGATCAAAGTTTTACATAGAAAAATATTGGCAAATTCTTTAAAAATCTTCTTCTCAAGAATAGCAAAGGCATGAATGATCATATTTATATGGAAGCATTCTTAGGTAGTTTAGATTCAGGTTTGTTCAAATCATGACCCCCAGGGGTAGAAGGGGCCACATGGCCAATCAAATTTTTACATAGAAATACATGTATGTAGAAAAATTATTTAAAAATTGTCTTCTCAAGAATAACAAAGGCATGAATGATCGTATTTATATGGAAGCATCCTCAAGCTCAGGTAGTGAAGATTCAAGTTTGTTCAAATCATGATACCTGGGGATAGGGCGTTTGGCCACAATGGTCGATCAAAGTTTAACATTGAAGTATATAGGAATTTTTTAAAAAAAAAAATCTTCTTCTAAAGAATAGCAAAGGCATGAATGATTATATTTTTACGGAAACATCCTCAGGTAGTGAACATTCAATTTTGTTCAAATCATGACCCCTGGGGGAAGGGCGGGGCCAAGACATGGAATCCAAGTTTTACATAGAAACATGTAGAAAAAAAATCTTTAGAAATCCTTTCAAGAATAGCAAAGCCATGATTAGTCCTATTGATATGGAAGCATTCTCAGGTAGTGTAGAACTGTAGATTCAATTTTGTTCAAGACATGACCCCTGGGGGTAGGGCGGGGCCACAGTGTAAGTTCAAATGTAAAGGGCAATAAAGCCACAGGTAGTCAAAGGAATATGCAAGCATCCTTAGTGTAGATTCAAGTTTGTTCAAATCATACACTCTCCGTTTTAAGGTGTTTCCACCCTCACAATTTTATAGGTTCAAAGTACAAAAACTGCATTTATTTTTCATTTAATATACTTTAAATTTTCCATTTATCGCAAAAAATGTATAGGTCACCGTATTATTTAGGATGCTAAACATAAATAAACAGAAGTGTATGACACCATTAAAAAATTGCACATTTTTTGTAAATAGAATTATGAAAAATATGTAAAAACTGGTTAAAATGCATAATTCTGATACTGAGTGTTCCTAAATACTTCCTACTTAAAAGATACTTTTGAATTGTGAATATCAGGGAAACTATTTTACAATAAAGCAAATGCCTGAATGAAGAGACCTTAGAAAAAGTTATTGCCCTTGTCAACATTTTTTAAAGATTGAATAATTGATTAAATATAGAAAATATGCATTTTTTAAATTCTTAACTTAACAATATTTATCATTACACCTATTGTAAAGCATTCTTCCAAGAAATATTGTTCTATTAGGTATGAATTTAAACTAATTACAGTTTTTGCAGAAAAACCTATGACATCATAGGAGGGTGGAATTACCTTAAGGATTGGTTTGGACCACTATTGGGTTTAAACTTTTTAATAAAAAAACTGATTTCTGCTTTTTTCCTAGCTCCGTTGCTCAGGTGGGCGATGTGGCCCATAAGCCTCTTGTTTTAATAAATCATGAAAGGAAACATATATTACCGACGTCTCCTGAGAAACCAGATAAGGAAATCTGGTATTTTGTAGCCTCGCTCCCTATGGACACATTACTGTATTTCACATAACGTGTTTGACCGTTGAAATCAGCCATGTCCATCCGTAACTCATATGATCCCTGACTCAGTAAATGATACAGCTTCTCATTACCTTAAAAATAATTATCGATGAAGTTTATGAAAAAAATTTACTAAAAGATTTATATATCAGGCAAAAGCACTAGCTCTTATCTATTTTGCATGATGATACTTTCTCGTTAAATTTGCAAACATTTCATCGTTCGTTCCCAAATAAAAATACTAAAGTAAACTATAGTGAATCAAAGTTGCATAGTTATCACTATAGTAAATTATAGTGAATCAAAGTGTCAAAGTTATCACTATAGTAAACTATAGTAAATCAGTTTCAAAGTGATCACTATAGTATAAATAAAAGTTTTCAAAATGATAACCAAAGTGTAAAAATGATCACTATAATAGTAAATGAAAATTATTAAAGTGATCACTATAGTGTCATAGTTATCACTTTTCCGGGTAGTAAATGAGATATCGCTATATTAAATTAAAGCTTTTACCATAATAAATTAAAGTTTTCATGGTGATCACTGGTAAATCAGAGTGTCAAATCAAAGTTATCACTTTAGTAAATCAAAATGTCAAAGGTTTCACTATAGTACAGTCATGTAAATCAAAGCTTTCATAGTGTCAAAGTTATAGTGAACTCAAGTAAGGCCAAAATAAAATTATTGTTTGTTTGGAATTGCCTCCCGCCTCATTGAAATGCCCCCTCCTGAAAAAAATTCTATTGACCAAAAGTAGGAAGATTTTTTTTTTAAAATTTTCCCGTAATCACATGCATAATACAAAAAAAAACTTAAATGGTGTGACAGATCTATGCAAAAATGGGTGTCTTTGTTGATGGTAGATACTTTTTTTAAAAGTCAAAAAATGTATTAACTGTTTACTGAGATTTTTACCAAAAATTTAAAATTTATCTTCAAGTTTGAAAAAACAAATTCCCTCCCTCCCTCCTGTGTCTAAAACCTTTCAGGCGGCAATTCCAAACAAACAATTTTTTAAGGGTGGCCTAAATTATAATATTTTTTGTTAGGGTTTATGGTACAGTGTGCATCTGGAATCCCCTATTATTACTTTTTATTATATTCTATGGGAAACATATTATTTTACTACATGTTAACTGCTCTGTTAGGGAATTCTTCCTACTCTGGGTCAACAACAATTGCTCAAACATATGTTCTTGTTTTTTGTTTTTTTTTGTTTGGTTTGGTTTTTTTTTTCCTTTTTGTTGATTAAATTTTATTTATTATATAATTATTATTTTTCCTATCCATTTGTTAAATTATATTTTTTTCTTCTCATTTCTCTTCCTCTCTCTCTCTCTCTCTCTCTCTCTGAATAAATTCCAAATATGTACCAATTTATAATCTACTCTTCAAACATTTTCCAATGTTTACATGTACTTGTAATTGTACCTTGATCTATGGAGAGAACGATCATAGACATTTATGCCTGCTGTTCAATCCATTTCTTTATATGAATAAAATATATTTTAAACTGAATCCCCTATTATTGTTTTGTGCTTTAAGTCTCAATGAGTTTAATTATTTTTGCAATGTACAATTTCTGGTATACTTTGTTCGCATTGGTTTTTTGAGACATTATTTATATGTTTTGACAATTAAATAAGTAGACGATACGTGTACAAGGGTGCTATCAGTTGCCAAATTATGGCTGCAAAGCAATGTCTCTTGGTACATGTATCTACTTCGACACAGGTTCTCGGTTTTTCATTTCTCCCCCGTGCATCTAGGGTCCGCCTTATGATTGTAACTCGTGGGGTAAGGATTGGCCTCATAATTTAAATCAGATCGCTGGTAATTGAATTTGTTGCGACTTAATATTCGTGAAACAGTAATACATACTGTTTTAAGATATTATTTAGTCCGCATATATTTCTTGCAGCATACCACTTCTTTCATTTGGATATTTCCTGCAAGTGCGAAATCATTTGCCGCGGATGGTTTTCAAAATTAAAAGACAAATACAACTAGCAAGCATACCAAAAAAAAATAATAAAATAAAATAAAACCATTGTTCATTTGAAACATTTAAACATGTAAAAGCATGGATATTTCTTTTCATCATCAGTCTTTGAAATTGAAATTACATACCACGGTTACTGAATGACAATTGATTATCTTGTTTGTTTGTTTTTTTTTTTTTATTATTTATTTGACTAAATGATAATTTTAAGGACAGATGATAGGTTCCTCAATAATGGATAATATATTTTTTAAAAATTTTGTCATTGAAGTATTGCTAAATCAGTATGCTTACTCACAAAAAATTGAGGTACCTTAATTACCAGGTATTTGTGTAAGATAGCTGAGGGTAGTGTTTCTTATATAATCCTTTTTGGAACTTTTTCAAAATTAGATCTTTTGGTGATTTAATTTCTTAAAGACGATTAGAAACTGGTTTGGAAATCAGAGTGTAATTAAAATTTTGAGATTTTTAAAAATACATTTCAAAAATATACAAAACAGATATTTGAGGAACGTATCGTCTGACCTTAAGTATTGATGCTAATACACTGTATTAAATCAATAAGACAACATTTCGTTAATAGGAAAAGCGGTTTTAATAAACCTACCTCAATGCAATCTGTATATGACATTGTTACGAAACAAAACAAAATTGTTTTCAATCTATGAAAAGAATCATTATTTCTTTATTAATGTCACTCTATTACATAATTATAAACGGTATAACTTTACTGTGGCTCACGTTTTTTAAAGATTGTGTTAAGCAATTATCATTTCCTATATAAATTCTCTCTGAGCGTCTAACGTACCAAACCAGAATTCCGCTGTCAAGTTTCCGAATCCGTTTTTGTATTCCTCCCAAGTTCTGTAGAAATCCTCAGATCCGTCAAGTCGACGTTGAAAAACCTTAGAAAAATCCAGAATAAGTTTAAGTAACAGTTAACCAACAACTTGCACAACCAGCATTTTTTTTTATTTGTAAGGGGGCATCACAGGCACTTGTTTCACACAGTAAGCTTAGTTTTCTACTATATATCGACAACGTATTGTCAATTAACAATGGTATTTCCCATTCCTACGTCGATACGATATATCTAGGACAGCTTGAGATAAAAGATACCACAGTGTCTGACACATTTGTTTCATACTTGGATATTTTACTTGAAAAAGACGTTAATGGTAATCTAACAAGCAAATTATATGATAAACGTGACGACTTTAACTTTTCTATCGTCAACTTTCCTTACTTATGCAGCAATATACCTTCATCACCTGCATACGGAGTGTATATATCTCAGTTGATTCGATATATACGCAAGAGCATGCTCTACGTATGAACAATTTCTAAAACGAGGTAAATTATTGACAAGCAAGTTGATGAAACAAGAATATCAGCAGTCTCGTTAACGTCATCATTTCGTAAGTTCTAAGGTCGATACCATGATCTTGTAAGGAAATACAATTTATCATTGAGTCAAATGCTGACTGAAGTTTTTCATACCAATTGTTAGTCCATTATTTATACACTGAATTGACGACGGATTTTTCCGATATTTCACGATCATGACAATGAGCACATGGCGGGTGTGACCGGTCAGTAGGGGATGCTCACTCCTCCATGGCACCTGATCCCACCTCTGATGTTTCGGAGGTCCTTGTTTGCTCTGCTCCTATTTTGTATTGTTTTATCAACTTTGATACATGTATTGAATACTGTTCGTTATCTCCATATTCTTCATCCATCTTTTTCAAGACCAAAAATATAGGTTACCAATTCAAACCCCCTTTTTATTCATTTTCCGCAGCTGGCCACAAAACCCCACATGTAATGGTTAGCGGAATTCCCCTTTTTGGACTACATATATATTTCCTTACCTCACCCCCTCGCGAACTTTGACACTGACCATAAAATTACACGCTTCATC